AGCGGTACTTTCTGCTGGTTGTTGACGACTACTCGCGTTACACCACGGTCTTCCCCTTGCGCACCAAAGGTGAGGTCCCTGCTGTCTTGATCCCTTGGATCCGCGTAGTTCGTCTCCAGCTCCGCCGGAGGTTCCGGACTTACCTTCCTGTCCTGCGTCTGCACTCTGACAGAGGTGGTGAGTTCACCTCCGACCTCTTGCGGACCTTCTGTCAGAGGGAGGGCATCGAGCAGTCGTTCACGCTTCCGGGCTCACCGCAGCAAAATGGGATTGCTGAGCGCCGCATTGGCTTGGTCATGGAGGTCGCTCGTACCTCCTTGGTTCATGCGGCGGCTCCCCATTTTCTGTGGCCGTTTGCGGTCCGGTACGCAGCGCATCAGCTCAACCTCTGGCCTCGTGTCTCCTTGCCAGACACCTCGCCCACACTGCGTTGGACGGGAGAGGTTGGCGATGCGTCGCGTTTCCGAGTCTGGGGTGCTCGTGCCCTTGTCCGCGATACGTCCGCGGACAAGCTCTCCTCCCGCACCATTCCTTGTGTCTTCCTTGGCTTTGACCTTGACGCGTCTGGCTGGCAGTTTTACCACCCCACCTCGCGTCGTGTCTTCCCCTCTCAGGACGTCACCTTTGACGAGTCGGTTCCTTTCTACCGTCTCTTCCCCTACCGCACTGCTCCTCTCCCTCCCAGGCCGCTTTTCCTCGCTCCAGGTCCCCCTCCGGTAGACCCCCTCCCCCCTCAGGGTCCCACTCCTTCAGGTGTGTCTCAGGTAGACCCACTCCCCTTAACTGAGCCTTTGGAGGTCACTTCCGACACCTCTGGCCCAGCTGAGGGGGGTGACGTTGCTGCTGACGCCCCGGCGGCCTACCGCCGCACACCACGCTTGGAGACCCCTCCGGGTTTCCCGCCGCGACCTTCTTCGCCGCCTCTGCAGCCGACTACTGTTGACTCTGGTGCTCCTGGGGGTGGTGCTACTTGGGGTGCTGCGTCTGGGGGTGCTGAGCCAGTACGTGAGGTGCTGGGAGGTGTGGAGCCTGGGGGTGCTGAGCCTACGAGTGCGGAGCCTGAGGGTGCTGAGCTGGAGGGTGCCGGGTCGGGGGGTGCTGAGTCAGCTGGAGTTCCTACGGGTCGTGCTGCTGGGGCTGGAGTTCCTGCTGCTGGGGATGCTGCTGCTAGAGGTACTGGGGTTGGAGGCCCTGGAGCTAGCGCTGTCGACCCTGGATTTGGAGGCCCCACGGTGCCCCCCCGCCGCTCACCACGCTTGGCGACCCCTCCGGGTTTTCCACCTCGACCGTCTTCGTCACCTCTGCGGCCGGTTCTGGTTGCCTCTGGTGCTGCTGGGGGCGGTGTTGCTCGGGGTCCTGCGTCTGGGGGTGCGGAGCCTGGGGGTGCTGAGCCAGAGGGTACCAGGTCCGGGGGTGCTGAGTCGGGGTCTTCCTCTTTCTGCTGCTCGAGCTGCTGGAGCTAGTGGTCGTGGAGACGCTGGGAGCACTGGTGTTTCTGGTTCTGGACGTGCTCGTACCGGGGGTACTGGAGCTGCCAGGACTGGTGGTATTGCTGGAGCTGGAGGTGCTAGTCCTGAGGGTGCTGAGTCTCCTCGCGGTCCTCCTGGTGCTGCGTCGCAGCGGCCACCTCTCTCGCGACAGCAGCTACGCGAGTGGTGCGCTCAGCGCTACTGCTGTCGAGGTGCTGCGACTGGGGGTACTAGGGCTGGACGCCCAGGAGCTGGTGCTGTTGCCTCTGGAGTTGGAGACCCTGGAGCTGGAGGTGCCGGTTCTGGAGGTGCTGCTGCTGGAGGTACTGAGGCTGGAGACCCTGGAGCTGGAGGTGCCGGTTCTGGGGGTGCTGCGACTGGAGGTACTGAGGCGGGAGACCCTGGAGCTCGAGGTTCTGGCGCAGCTAGCGACGCTGGAGCTGGAGGTTCTGTGGCTGCTGGAGGCGCTGGAGCTGGCGGTTCTGGAGTTGCTCGAGGCAGTGGAGCTGGAGGTTCTGGAGCTACTGGAGGCACTGGAGCTGGAGGCTCTGGAGCTGCTGGAGGCGCTGGAGCTGGAGGTTCTGGAGCTGCTGGAGGCGCTGGAGCTGGCAGTTCTGGAGCTGCTGGAGGCGCTGGAGCTGGCGGTTCTGGAGCTGCTAGAGGCGTTGGAGCTGCTGGAGGTGCTGGAGCTGCTGGTGCTGGTGGCACTGCACAGCCGCGACTGTTTTTCGCTCCGCCGTCACCGTCGTCTCTGCCACCACCTGACTCCGTGCTTCGCCAGGTTCTTAGCCTCCCGTCTTCTACTGGTCTTTCGTTACTGCCTGGCTCACCACTGCCTGCTCCTTCTCCTTACATTGAGCAGACAGGAGGTCCTGCTGAGCGTCGTGAGCCTGCGTCTCGTCCTGTCTCGCCTGTTCGCACTGGTCGTACTGGTCGTCGTGTTCCTCGTCCGCGTCCGCCGGCTGTCCCCGGCACGCACCTCATGGCCCTTCGTCCTTCCTCTGCTCCACAGCGTGTTCCCCTGCCGTCCCCTCCTGCGTCTTCTCTGCGTTACGTTCCAGACCCTGAGTCTGACCGCGCTCGTGCTGCTCACCCTACTGTCACGCGTCTGCTTGCCACTGTTGTCACTGACCCTTCGTTTGAGTCCACTGCTGCGTCTGCCCTAGTCGCTGAGCTTGTTGACTTTGCTACTGCCTGTCGTCTAGACTACGCTGCTAGTCTTGTTGCTGAGTCTGAGTCTGTCTGTCCTCCGTCCGTCGGGGGTGAGTGTGCTCTAGGCACGGACGTCCTTGAGGACAGGCACGAGGACCTTGAGTGTCTTGCGGCTGCTGCGCCTCATCTCGTGGCCATGCTGCTTGCCCCTGAGGGAGATCCGGATGCACCAGACATCCCGACCCCGCGCTCTTACGCTGACGCAATCGCGGGTGAGTGTCTCTCAGTGGCAAACAGCCATGGACGCAGAGATGGCATCCTGGAAGTTCACAGGCACTTACGTCAATGAGGTTCCCCCTCCTGGGGCGAACATCGTCGATGGCATGTGGATTTTCAAGGTGAAGCGGCCGCCGGGTTCTCCGCCTTTCTTTCAGACCTTCTCCCCTACCCCGAAGATGACCACTCTTGACTTCAGCACAGCCTTCTTACAGGGCAGCCTGCACGAGGAGATCTGGCTGCGCCGCCCACCTGGCTTCACTGGGTCGTTCCCTCCTGGTACCCAGTGGAGCCTCCGGCAGCCAGTCTACGGTCTCCGCCAGGCGCCTCGTGAGTGGCATGACACACTGAGGACGACGCTTGCGGCTCTTGGGTTTGCTCCTTTGACTGCTGACCCGTCGCTGTTCCTGCGCACCGACACTTCGCTGCCGCCGTTCTATATCCTTGTGTACGTCGACGACTTGGTCTTTGCCACTGAGGCTCTCGCTCAGGTGAAGTCGGAGCTGCAGAAGAGACACACGTGCACAGACCTGGGTGAGCTACGCAGCTACCTTGGCTTGCAGATCACCCGGGACAGAGCACGCCGCACCATCACCCTGACTCAGTCACACATGGTGCAGCAGGTCCTTCAGCGCTTCGGCTTCTCCTGGTCCTCCCCACAGGCCACTCCTCTGGCTACAGGTCACTCGCTCTCAGCTCCACCTTCGGACGAGTCCGTAGAGCCGAGTGGTCCTTACCCAGAGCTAGTGGGCTGTCTCATGTACCTGATGACCTGCACTCGACCTGACCTCGCATACCCTCTTGGCCTTTTGGCTCGTTACGTGGCTCCTGGCAGGCACCGAAAGGTGCACATGGATGCTGCCAAGAGGGTGTTGCGCTACCTGTGCAGTACATCAGGCATGAGGCTCGTGCTGGGAGGACGGAGTGAGGTGGTCCTTACTGGGCACTCAGACGCGTCTTGGGTTGACGACCAGACTACACAGCGGTCGTCGCAGGGTTACACCTTCAGCCTTGGCTCTGGCTCTGTTTCTTGGCGGTCTACACGCTCGTCTTCTGTTCTCAACTCCAGTTGTGAGGCTGAGATCTACGCCACCGCCATGGCTGCACAGGAGCTACGCTGGCTCACCTACCTGCTGACTGACTTGGGTGAGCGGCCTCGTTCTCCTCCAGTTCTGTACGTTGACAACAAGGCGACCATTGCCTTGTGTGAGGAGCACAGACTAGAGCACAGAACGAAGCACATCGCTCTCCGTTACTTCCTGGCTCGAGAGTTGCAGCAGCGAGGTCAGCTTCGTCTTCGTCACGTGGCCACTCGGGCCAACACTGCTGATATATTCACCAAGGCGCTTCCGTCTGGTGATCATCAGCGCTTTTGTACCCTGTTAGGCCTTGTGCCTACGTTTCCACACTTGCTGTAGTCTTTGCTTGTACTGTGATCTCTATATATATACCTGCATGCTGGCTCTTGCTAGGTAGTCATCACTGTACTGTTGTTGTTGCATATATATATACCTCTGCATGTGAACTGGCCTTGTGGCCCTTTGCTTGTGCTTAGAGTGTGTGGTGACGTTGTGATCCACCCTAAGCTTGCTTTGCTTCTCTTGACTGGTCGTGTGACCCCTTGTTCTCTCCCACTTTGCCTATGGGGGTGTGTCAAACATATATGCTGCTTGTTATATCACTGTACTATTGTTGTTGCATATATATATACCTCTGCATGTGAACTGGCCTTGTGGCCCTTTGCTTGTGCTTAGAGTGTGTGGTGACGTTGTGATCCACCCTGAGCTTGCTTTGCTTCTCTTGACTGGTCGTGTGACCCCTTGTTCTCTCCCACTTTGCCTATGGGGGTGTGTCAAACATATATGCTGCTTGTTGTGTAGGCTGTATTGGGGTAGCCCATATGGGGTACAACCCAAATTAGGGTTTCCTACTTGTACCCATCATGCTGCTAGTTCATTCATTCCTGCTTGGTATCTTGACATGCAACACCATTCACACTCGAATCTTGGACATCAAGAAGTGCCAGTCGAAGCACGCCACTCTTGAGGTTGACCCAACTGCTGTTGATGGTAAATACAATCCATTATTTTGCTCACACTGCGGCTATACATCTGTCACAAGCCTACCACTATCCTCTTCCTCCATAAGCCATTCTAACTTTGCATCCAGCGCATTCTGACTAAAACCCCCAGAAAGCCCATCCCCACCCTCCCCACCCTGGTGCTCTTCATCCCTTCCACTGGCGGCAGCGCCAGGGGTGTCACCATCCCTGCTCGCCCCTGCGTTGCCGGGCGGAGGTGGACGTGGGAGGGCGGAGAGGGAGCGCTTGAGAGCCTTGATGGAGCGCAGCAGGTCGGTCACAGTGGGCCGGGCGAGGGGGTCGGAGGCGGTGCAGGAGAGGGCGAGGCGCACCATGGGCAGCACGATGGCGTCGGGTGCTTGGGGCAGGTGGGCAGCGCGCAGCTGGGCTGTTGTGTTGCGTGACACTAGGCGCTGTGCCTGCACAGGGATGGAAATTTTGGACATGTTGGGGTGGGAATCGGAGGAATAAGAGGGAGGAGACGATGCATGAGTGCTTGTTGAGGATTCATTGAGGCGAACACACTGGTGGTGGCTTGGCATAGCAGGGTGGCATGGTGGTGATGAGTGTTGTGCAGTGGCATGAAGAGAGCCTGCCACTCACCCAGTCGCGGATGTGCACTGAGCCACTGCCACTAGAGTTGCCGCTTCCTGTGCTCATGCTACTGTTGTAGCTGTTTGTGCTGATGCTCTTGCTGCTGTTGCTGCTACTGCCGCCATCCCCGCTGCCAGAGCTGGTGCCTTGCTGGTGGTCGGTGCGTGCAGGTGCAGGGATGAAGGCGGGGCGACCCGTGATGAGCTGCAGCATTACCACTCCAATGCTGGGGGAGAGTGAAGAAGAGCGTAGGGGCGGGAGGAGAAAATGGAGAGGTGTTTGGCTGGTCAATCGAATCAGTTGATGGTTAGTCACGGCGAAAGCACATCCAATCAGCAGCAGAGTAACGGATCCAACTTTTAAGCAGACGGATTAGCAGCATTTGGTTCAGCATGCCTTATAGGAGAGAAGGAGGTGGGAGAGGCGATGAGGAGAGGGGACAAGAAGACAGGTAGAGTGGCATCAGTAGAAAAGGTTGCAAGAAACACTGCTGCAACGCCTGAGTGAAAAGGTCTCAGTGAAAAGGTCTGAGTGAAAAGGTCTGAGCGTTTTTTAGAGATTGTGAGCAGCAGGGTCGAGCGAAGCAGCACGATTGTTGAGACATGTCAAGAGCTGTGCAGCACGCACCTGAAAACGTCCGTGGAGGGCGTGGTGCGAGAAGAGGCATGCAGGATTGGGTCCATGTATGCATGGTTGGCAGGTCGCCCCGTGCCACTCTCTGGTGATGCCACCGATGCCCTTGCTGATGCTGCTGGCACTGGCGATGATTCTGCTGCTTCTGGTGCTGCTGCTTCTGGTGCTGCCGCTTCTGGTGCTGCTGCTGGTAGTGGCGGTGCTGCTGGTGCTGGTGGTGGTGGTGCTGTGGGGATGGATGGGAGGGGGTCGCCCATTTTCACGGCCATGCAGCCAGCCAAGACAGGCTGCGGGAACGGCATGGACGAGGGGTAGTGGAGAAGCAGAGTGAATGCAGCGGGCAAGGGAAGGGAGCGACGCAGCTGGTGGTTGATGGGTTGGGGAGGATGGAGCTGGGAGTATGTGAAGCGGCAAAGCGTGCATGGCAGATCCGCCTGTGTGTCACTGCACCTATGTGTCACTGCACCTGTGTGTCACTGCACCCGTGTGTCACTGCACCTATGTGTCACTGCACCTATGTGTCACTGCACCTATGTGTCACTGCACCTATGTGTCACTGCACCTCTGTGTCACTGCACCTATGTGTCACTGCACCTGTGTGTGTCACTGCACCTACGTGTCACTGCACCTACGTGTCACTGCACCTATGTATCACTGCACCTATGTGTCACTGCACCTGTGTGTCACTGCACCTATGTGTTACTGCACCTATGTATCACTGCACCTGTGTATCACTGCACCTGTGTGTCACTGCACCTGTGTGTCACTGCACCTGTGTGTCACTGCACCTCTGTGTCACTGCACCTGCATGGCAACAGGCAGCTCACCTGCAGCGCAGTGTCAAGCAGGATGTTGCGAGGGTGTATGCAGCCATGCACGACCCCATAACTCTGGATGTGCTTCAGCCCGCGCAGCACACCGCCTGTCACATCCAGAGACTGCCACACGGTCAGAGGCGTGCAGCCCTCTGCATGGCGGGAGGAGGAGGGGGGCACAGGGTAGTAGAGAGAGGGTACGGGGACATGAGGGAGAGAGGGTAACATAGACAGGGGAACAAGCAAGCAAAGATGCAGAGGCATGGAGGGGGGGGGTAAGCATGGAGGGAGTAGGGTGGTGGGGCAGGGGGACAGGTGTGGGTGTACCTGCAAGGAGGCGGGTGTGCAGATTGCCTCCTGGCACCCACTCAAACACCAGCACCTGCTCCTCTGCTCGCTCCTCTGCTTGCTCCTCTGCTTGCTCCTCTGCTCGCTCCTCTGCTCGCTCCTCTGCTTGCTCCTCTGCTTGCTCCTCTGCTTGCTCCTCTGCTTGCTCCTCTGCATCACTGGCAGCAGCAGTAGCATCAGCACGTGCACTCTTGGCATTATCAGCACTCGCACTCTTTGCAGTATCAGCACCGGCAGCAGCAGCAGCACTAAGAGCAGCAGCAGCAGGCGAGGGAGGGTGAAAGGAAGTGGCACGGTTCTCCCAGCAGTACCCCAGCAGTCGCTGCAGGTTGGTGTGGCGCATGGCCCACAGCGTCGCCACCTGCACGGAACAGACAGCCAAGCAGCCACAAGGAGGGGGGGATACAACGGCAAGTTAAAAGGGCACACCACAGCACAGTGCGTGCAGTGGCACTATTCACAACACAGTACAGTGCTCTCACCTCTTTCTGGAAGTCTGTGGAAAGCTCGTCGTTGCTGCGCCTCACCACGAACCACACCTGTCGCGCATCCACAGGACTCACTGCCTTGTACCTCTGCCCTCCACCGCTGCTGCTGCTAGTCTCCACCCTGCTACCGTCGCTCCACCCACCCGTCGCCTGTGCCACGAGGGCCATGGGGAGCTGTGGACAGCGGGCACGACTGAAGACGCGCGATGCTGCAGTGGGGAAGGAATGGGGGACGAGACGAGGGCGGGAGAGCAGGGTGAGAGGAGGAGGGAGATCGAAAGAGATGTTGGTGAGATGTTGGTGAGATGTTGGTGACAT